GGAAGCTTCCGTTCGGCTCTCCAGGAGATTGCGATCCCTCCTGTGCTGCCAAACTATCCTTCCCTTCTTCACTGTCCCTACAGAACAGCTCTGGTCTGTCTAGGACTAGGCAGACCTCCCCAAACAGCTGAAAAGCAACGATTCCTAGGGAGCCCCCAAGGAATACGTTGTGTCGCCGAGACGTTCACTCCTCCCCCCCCCTATTTATTGGGATCTAATAAATATCTTTCATGTAATGCATTTCATTTGAATAAAATTATTATTGTTACAAAGTAATAATACATTTCCTACAATATAAAGAGAAACTATTATGTGGAACGCCTGGATAATTCTCATTAAATCCTAGGTTACTGTTTGAATACCACTGATATAAGCCAACACACATATCAGGAGTAAATAATACAGAACAGGTCCTATTGTTTCCCCAGACATCTTTGTCCTTGCCTAATTTTAAAAAAAAATTAATTTAAAAAGCTAAATTGGAAGATAGCATGCTGTAAAGCAAAATACTTGTGCCTAGAGCTTTTTCTAATCTGATGCATTCCAAATGGGTTCGATTGTGAGAATTAAATTTTTTAGCCAAAAGTTTGGTAATGAATTCTGGGAATTAAAAGTCCTAAACTACAGTATTTGAAATGGTATAAACCGTTTCTAAATATCTAAAGATAGCATTGTTTATGAAAATAATTACCATACTGCATCTGAGAAAAGTGATTAATGATTGTTTCACTAAGGAACCCAGTTTAATGAGTTTGAGTTCACAAAACACATTGAACCACAAAATAACAAGATAAACTAAATTTATACAATATCATAGAGTAAATGTATTGGGTATTTTGTGGTTCTGCTTCCCATGAAGCTTAAAGTGGTTAATATAGGCACTTATTCTAAACTGCAAATATCCAGATGAACACTAAATGGCAACAAAGAGACATAGTAAGATATATTTTGCCATCTAATGGTTCAGACAGTACTTAAGTACTTCTAGATGGACTAGATCTGGATCTCACATTTTGGGAAAAGACCTTTAACCAGATTCCTTTCTAGTTTAAATTCTGAAGTGAACTACATATTGTTGAAAGAAAAATCTTCATCAGGGTCCAGTCCAAGAAGGGAATAAACAAAATGGAGACTGCTTTAGAAAGAAGGTTGTAATTTATTGAAGAGCAAAGTCAGACAAAAGCATGGCTCTGAGAAAGCTGACCACATGTAATAAGGAGTGGTGGGTTTTTATACCTTCTTGAGCTTTTGTTTGGAGTTGTTCCTGTGGCATGAACTTTGACCTGAGGCTGAGTGTGTCTTTCTGGTATTCTGATGGTGGTCAGTTAACCCTATTATGTCCCAAAGGTCATATGCTGCTTCCTTGGGGCTGTGGCTGATGACTATATCCATGTTGGGGGGTTTTTTGGGTGTGAAGGATTGTTGATTCTAGGGATCTTTTGTCTTTCTACTCCCAGCTTCCTGGCTCCAATCTTTCTGACAAAATTATCACATCTGCATTTCTGCAGACCTGGTTTCTGTTTGGTGCAGAGAGACTTGGGGGGGGGGGTGTTTCTGCCTTTAAGATCCTTTGGGGAGATTTTAATATTCCTTTTAATATTCCCCAAAATATTTCTTTCTCAGGGAGGTTGGGGCTGACTTCGCACAATATCTTATATTCCTTTGATTTGAATGAGCCTGTAATTCTACTGTTTTTTTCAATATGTATGTACTCTAGATTCCCATTAGATGCCAATTCCTATTCAGTCTTAGATTATCTCAAAAATCTAAGCAGTCTAATTTGTTTAATACTTGCTAGTATTGTATTTGTACAGGACACACCAGTTATAAGAAGCACCAAGTTTAAACTCTTTAGAAAATATAAAAGCCCCGGACATCTTTGTATTGGGGAGGATAAAACTAATGTGTATAACTTCATATGTGTTTTGGATCCTGATAAGCTGAGGATCCAAAAGGATCTTGACAGACTTGAAAAAAGGACCCTATCCAACAAAATTTAATGTAGAGAAAAGGTTTTACACTTAGGCAGGAAAAACCCAAGGTACAACTACAGATTAGATGAAACCTGGCTCAAAAACAGGAAGGGACCTTGGAGTCCTAATGGACAATCACTTAAATATGAGTCACCAATGTGCGGCAGCAACCAAAAAAGCTAATGCAATCAAACAATGGATGGAAACTAATCAAGGAGAGATGCAACCTAGAACTAAGAAGAAATTTCCTAACCGTGAGAACAATTAACCAATGGAACAGCTTGCCTTCAGAAATTGTGGGTACTTCATTACTAGAGATTTTTTAAGAAAAAACTGGACAGCCACTGTCTGAAATGGTATAGGGCCTTCTGCTTGAGCAAGGGGTTGGACTAGAAGACCTCTAAGGTCCCTTCAAACTCTAATCTGTATGTATATGTATGTACATGCAATATAGCTGAACACTGGTGACTGTTATCTTTGCAAGTCAAGCTAAGCACTTGAGCTACGATTCATGATTTATTTTTAAGTCCTAGTGTAAAGCCTGACAGTAGGTTAAATTGAAATTAAAAAAAAATCCCCAAGAGTGCAACAGTAAAACACTCCCAAGTTAGAAAAAACAGTAAATTCTACTGCTTGTTGCTACTTCTTTTGAAAACAAGACTTTTTCAGACCCAATTACCGCTAAATTAAAAGCTTGCACTCATACTATTTTCTGTTCAGAGTTACCAAATGACAAGGCTTATTTTTTGCCGAAGCGTACTCTCCAATCCGAACACTTTGTTCGAACTTCCGCCGCCGGAGCACTGCGCATGTGTATTAATTCGCGGCTGCTACTTCGGGCAGGTTATGACCCAATATGGCGGCGCCCTGCGCTTTTGAGCCTTGGCTTGAGAGTCGTCTCGAGGCCCTGGGATTAGATGGAGATGTGTATTGTGGATATATACGAGGCGTACTGCGGGAAGCGGAGTGCGATGCAGAGCGGCTAGAAGGGCTAGCAGGGGCCTTGGCTGCGGGGGAACAGGTGAGAATGACGGCTAATTGGTCCTGACCGGCTTCCGTAGCTATTTTTTTCCCTTCCTTCCTCCCTCCCACCCTTTCTTCCTTCCCTCTCCTATGACACTATCAAAATGGATTTCGTATCTTTCCTGTCTTTTGGGATATATTTTATCCGTATGTGTAAAATATATCCAAAGTGCGCATGATGAATTCCAGGAACAGCTATCTATTTAGGTGGATTGCACCGAGTGTAGTTTTAATTTTTATCTCTACTTATTATTCACGTGACAAGTTATGTTTTCAAATTTAGGTTCAAATTTTGTAATTTCCTAATGTTCACTGAATGGGTTTAGGCAAGAGTCTGGTTTTCTTATCAAACATTCTCATTCTTTACATTACAAGTAGGAGGTTCTACTCTTCTGTCCATGATTTCGTCAAGATTGTATTAAGTGTTTTGAAAAGTCTTAATGTAAGTAAATTTATCGTTGCAACCACAGATCAAATCATATAGTGTGCCATAAACTACAGTAGCAGTAAAATAGTAAGATTGTAACAATAATAAAAGAAGTATTAGATGTAAAAAGGGTACAGAAATAAAGCCAAGCCTACAGCTAAGAATGTATGCATTTCTTTTTGAGTTCTAAGGGATAAGAGAACAAAAATAGCAACTTGGTTGCTGATAGTTGGAAACATATCTGCAAGAAAATAGTTCAATTTTTTGTGATTGGAACTGTGTAAAAGTTACTTATTTATCAATCAAATTTAGAAACCACCCATCTTACTTTCAGAATCTTTTTGATTGCCTCAAACATTTTGAGTCTCTTCTGTCGCAGGACTACAGTTCAAGAATGTTTTCTTTTGATTTCCGCTAAAAAAAAAAAGCCTAATAACATACCAGTCTGTTTTGTGGCAATGCTGCAATCCTGTATCAATGTATTTCCATTGAATAAGTGGCACTTGCATTCATAGCCTATCATCTGCTTTTATGTAACTGTTTCAAAATACTTTCTTAGTAAATTCTTAGTAAATTCTAAGTTACCTCTCTCTTGTTCTGGTAATCATATATTTATTTGTTTTATTTTTCTCTTGCTACAATTCAAGTGATTCAGTTTTTATTAGGAAGCAGTTTAAATCAGTCCATAGTCTAAAATATAATTCTGTTTATGAGCTGATTCCTTCACTAAATGATCAGGCTCTGTGATAAATTTGGCATCAACTAGCATTAAGGGCTTCCCTATTAAGACACACTTTCAACCATTGATAATGTAATAATTACACACATAATTATAAAAAGGTATAGATTTGCATCTTTAATGGATTTCAGATTACAGAACATATAGAATTATATTTTTGTTTTAGATAAGATTTTGATTCAACTGAGTAATTTCTCTGATCTTGATCAGGATGAAGATGTATTACAAGAAGTTTGTAAAGAAATAATCGAAAAGTGGTCAGAGGCCCAAGATGTTGAAATCAGTGAGAAGAAAGAAGGTATTCAATGGCACTCTATGGTATTCAAGGTGTTGCTTGGATGTACATTCTTTTGCATGATTTTCATTGCGAAAATTACTTTTTATCGCCTTTGTAATTTTTTTACCATTTTGATTTCATGACACGGGCTCCTGTACTCAACTGTGCAGTCTCTTATTTTATTTTTATTCTATTTCATTTCATTTTTCTTTTTTTTTTCTTTTTTTATAAACAAACTTTATTGATTTTTTTTTTCCCCGAAATAAACAAACATACAATTATGGCATAAGTCAATAATACAATTAATAAAAAAAACAAACTAAAAAAACCTCCCATTCTAAGATGCTCAGTAACCTCACAGGAACACATTCCCTCTCTTCAACCTACTTCCCTCCTTCCTTCTACCTCCTTCCCTCCTCTCCACCTTCTCAACCACTCTACTCTACACATCCCC